CAAACTGGTCACACTGGTCTCATTTCTGGAAAACAACAAAACAAACTCGGTCTCATTTCTGGAAATGTGACCGAGTTTTGAACAGCTAGTTTTTGAACATGGTGGATTGTAGAACTATTCTCGGCCGTGCACGTTACTTTGTTGTCGGCCCCCGCCAACGTTCTACTCTTCTTAGCAACTGAAAAGATGACGGGCAGATTCTGACCAGCTTTAAAAAACAATAGTAATTATTATGGGTGTGTTCTTTAGACCTGGACGTTTGCCTCGAGTGTGTTGTGTCCAAGCTGCTTCTCCTTGAGACGGTCGGAGACGCCCGTGAGGACAAACTGTCTGGAGACAAAAGTTGTTGCACATGTTTTGAACGTGTTCGACGCTCGAGCAGCAGACTGGAGGAAAGAGGACCAGTGAGACCTCGGGGGACGCCTTCATGGCGGCTCTTCCACCAGATGCACCCCAGTGAAATACCACCTGTGTACTTTTACAGTGCACGGTGGTCTATGACGCGTGCACGTGGCTGTTTCATTGAGTTCAAACACGAAGATGTTTCCTCCGTTATTTCTGCAGACTTCTGGTTTCTTAAACAAACAAATAAAAACTTTAATTTTCCCTACCGTCTGATTCTGTCGGCTCCCCATGAAAAGCATCAGCTCTGAAGATGTGGACGTCCAGAAGCTGCGTTTCTCCAACAAACTCAAATTTGATATTTCCAACCTTCTCCAGCTCGTCCACAGTGAGGCCACTTTCCTCCAGGAGCTCCCTAAAATCAGAAAAGGCTCAACATTAAATGTCACCATGAGCATTCAGGCGTGTCGTCATGAAACCAGTGTTTCCAGAACAGCTTAACTTTGTGCGGTGGAGCTGAGCTGATTTTGAACACCATCACTTTTTCAGACTAGAAGGTGCAGAACTTAAAATCCTTTCTTTCTCTTGAACATGGGCAATACGCCTCATGTATCAACTCTGCTTGTGTTTACTGACCAACTGCTTTTATGTGCTTATTGTGAACGAGTGGAATAAAGTTTGACTTATCGGTTTAGTTTTGCTTAATGCACCTTATAATCTGAAGAATACAGAAACTGAAGGTTTAGGGAACAAAAAGCTAAACGTGTATACAAAAACTTTTAGCGTTTGATATCTGCCTGACTGATGATGACTGCCAGCAAAATGATGCCAAACAGAATATTTGCAGCTCGTGTTCATTAAAGGAATGTTCTGTTGTGGCGTGTTGAGTTCAGCCGTTACATTTTCCTGTTTTATTTACTGACGTTCTCAGGCAATAAACATAAACTGGTACCAGCTCAGACAAACTGAATTATTGAAACCATCAGAAACCGAGTTACTGGACACAAAGCAGGTTGGTTTTGTTCACAACGTGTAAGCTAGCCATCCTGATAGTCAACGATCAATAACCAGCTTCACACGATGTGTTTTGATCAATACTGAACCGTCATGATGATGCGCATGTGACGGTTTACATGAAGGTCCATTTCAAATTTATCAGCATCACGTCTGATTCTGGTCCAAATGGAAAGTTGCTCTTAGCATTAGCTGTTCAGCGAAACAGAAGAAAAGTCACTCACGGCCAGGAATAAAATGAAAAAGGTCCAAATGTAACGAGTCTGCAAACAGAGCGCTCTGAGCTGGAGGAGAACAGGTCTGGCCTAATCAGCCGCAGGGCTTCGTTCCTTCAGTGGAACAAACTTCCTACAGATGATTAATAACAGACTGTCCAGAAGAACTTCCTTCCAGACTTAAAAACACTCACGAATCATCTCGTACCTGCTTTTTCCATCCTCTCATTAACGCCTGCACTCTAGCTTCTCGTTAATTCTGCTGGGAACATACAAACACTCAAAGACTGATCCCAAAATGCAACTATTTCATTTTAAATTACATTTGTAGATAAAGAATGGCCGTACAATGAACCAAGTGTAAAAGCTGAGCTGCAGAGCTCCAATGAGGACGGGGGCTTTCTCTGCTTTTGCCACTGACTTCCATTATTTGCTGGTTTTATTGTGCAGTCTTTGCTGAACAAAAAATATTAAAAAATAAAGGACGTCTCCTCCTTCAAATGAGCTGCACGCTTTAATGTTTATATTGACAAGAAACTGGACATTTGTTACAAAATAGTAACAAGTGTAATGAACTATTTTAGTCCCATTTTCCCCGTCTGTAGATTAAAGCGACATCGTGCAACTACCTGTAATATCAAGACTGACACATTCACCTCTAAACTGTTGGTGCCTCTTCAGGAACACTTGTTGAACCCAACGACCTAAATTATCTGCTGCTATTTGTATCTAGATTTGATTAGATTTGAAGTTTTCCTGTCCGCGCTGCTCGTTTGTTTCGACTGTTCAACACTTTCTTTGGTCTTGTTGCTGTTTTAAGTGCTCTATAAATAAACTGGTACGTAAAAACTAAAACGCGAGTGTTACTTTTTACTGAAATACTAATGAAAGCACTTTGTGACACATCCAGCCTTCTATCACATCATCACAGCAATTAAAATACTCCCACTAGAATCTTTGTAAATGTTTTTATGGAGCACTGAGACAAAGACAACTGATGGTAAGACCCTTCACCTGGGCTGTTTGAGGACTGTACAGATGTTTTGATGTATCGCTACAGCGTGATACAATACGCTTCATGACACTTTGAAAACATGTGGTTCCCATGTATCGTTTCCATGAAGCTGTGGTGCCTCCTAAAATCTGTTAATGGGATGACCATAAAAAATGTTGGAGTGGCCACAATATCAGGAGATTTGTTAGTTGTTGTGGTATAAAGGTTATTGGACAAATACTGTCATACAAGAATAAAGGACTCACCTTCTGATGCACATAGGTCTATTTTTTTATTTACAGATATTATTGATTGAGAAAAGTCCCGTCACTACGACTCACTGAAGCTTGTCCTTTCTTAAATATATATTTATTAAAATATATTATGCATATAACCTCCTGAAATTCTGAATCCTAATGTTGAGGATAATGGTTTCATACCAGTTGTCCTTTTTCAGGGGAACTTGATACACATAATATATATATTATATTTTTAATTCATTAAAGCGATGTTTGTTAATATGTTTATAAGGTTCTACCAATTCTAAATAGTTAGGGGAAATTAAAAATCTATTCAAAATGAATGGGGCTGAATAGAATAGAACTCTTGCCGGGGGGGGTTGGGGTGTCACAAACCTTTAGAGATGCCCCCCCCCCCCCCAGTAGCGCCCCTGCTGCTGTCAACACTCGAATGAACGGACATTTGTTTAAAGATCACGTGAGCACAGACGGAACATTTCCTGAGGCTAAAACTTGTAAAAACACGCATCTACGACATAAATGATTATTACTTTTAGGAGCCGGAAAACGAAAGCAACTGAACCGACCTTTTAGCAGCATCTTCAATGCTCTCCCCAGGTTGAACTTTGCCCCCGAACCCGTTCCACTTTCCGGCCCCGAAGCCCCTCTTCTTCATGCCCAGCAGCACCCTGCCGGGCCGGACCACCAGGACCAGGGTCAGCAGCCTGGAGCTCAGCATGGCTCCTGAAATGTTACAACGCTGCCGCAGCGCAGGAAACACGGGCAACAACTAAACGTTCTGCTCACAAAGTTCAACGCTGAGTCATGGCAGCTGAAACATTTACCGTTTCCTAAAAGAAAAAACAAAAGAGCGTCGCATTGAACAGTCTCCCGCGCGGACACGTCATCACATAGTGACAAGAGACGTCATCACACGGTGACACGACTTGAAACAAGAGTGGATGGACCGGATTGACGCGATCAACCGGAAGAGTAGCTTATCGTTAGCTTGTGAGATCTGCAAAAATCTACGTCTTTCCTTGAAATATGTCCGACTAGAAACCGAGAACTTGCGCTCACTGACCGCCCAATAAATAATACATAAATTCCAATTAAGGGTAGAAAACAAAGCAGCTTTTGCCTATTTGATATTTACAGCTGGTCAGATCAAACAATCTGAAGAGCGTTGGGCTATAGTTCAGTCTTTTTGCACAACTTACTGCTGTGTTCCTATTGAGTATGATGGATGTTTGTTCAGACATTGTGTAAATAGATTTTGTTGTTTCGTTTTCCCCAAAAAAATATTAAAGTAGCTCATATTAAAAAAAATGTATGTGCTGCAAGGTAATATGATCAGTCCGCACATAATGATAATTTTCCTAAAAAGAAATTCACAGAGAACTTAAGTTTTTTTATATTGCACACTTTCACATTTGTGTGGTCAGTCTATCCAATTATTACTTTATCATAAGTTTATCAGTTTATCATATTGTTAGATATGTAAGTTTACTGTAGCTTGTGCTATTGAATAACACAAGATATTTACCAACATAAACAAAACCAAATTTTACTTATATTACTATTATTCAGCTTTATTTAACCAGGCAAATCCCATTGAGATCACAGATCTCTTTTGCAGGGGAGACCTGGGCCTGAAGGCAGACAAACTATTTCCATCATTATAAAAAATAAACTATGGAAGGGATCACAGAAAAGTTAAGTCATGTCATCTGGACAGATTAGACTGAGCATGTATCAGGGCATTATGGAAGGGTTCCTTAAAAATACAGAAATCTAGTCCAAAATTAGACTAGAAAGAATACTGTATGAGCATACAATCAAAAACTATATATACAAAAAAAATATATATATATATATAACTATAACTAATACCAGCTGTTAGACTCATGAATCTCTATCACTGTGAAAAATCACATCATGTTGCTGCTGATCTGTTTCATGCTGCTGCTGATCCGTTTCATGCTGCCGCCGATCCATTTCATGTTACTGCTGATCTGTTTCATGCTGCTGCTGATCTGTTTCATGCTGCTGCTGATCTGTTTCATGTTGCTGCTG